ATTTTTATAACGATTTCGTCCTTAATAATAATTTCAATTTTCAAGGGATTTTAAACTAAGTAGTCTTAAATCTTGGCCATTCAACATAATTATCCCTTGTCAAGTCTGCACATAACATTTAATTAAGGTATTAGGTTCAAATCTTCATGTATCCACATTTTTACTACCCACACTAGTTCAGATCCGCATTGGATAGGAGGATAAGTATGTTTAATAAAATAATATATTGTTTATATGACACTAACTTGGGAGTTTATGGCATAAGCTCAACTGATATCTGACATTATTTGGCCGCCCCATTTCTCATCTTGGGAATGGCAGAGCAAGGGAAAAATACAGAAAAAGTCAATTGGGAAATTATCTACCGCTAGTATTACTATTATTACTACTACTACAATATATTTTTAATATTTAAAAATACAAATTCAAATGAAAGTAATTTTTGGGATTGCTATTAAATTACAATAATTGAATTAAAATATAGTGAGATTTATTTAGAGACAATTTAATATTTTTAAATTTATATTATAATATTTAGTCGTCTTAAATATTACAACTTTGAAACTTCTCTTCAATAAATATAGTTTTTTTCATTAGTTTATTGCTCTAATTTTCTTGCTATAAGTGAAAAGGTAGGAGCTAATAATGTGAGGTTATAAGCGGATTAAACTTGTAAGCTCCTATAGGAGAGGTCTCATATATTAAAATAAACGTTTGAAATGACACATACACCCTCATTGCATGTCTTTAAATTCAATAACTCATCGATCGTCACCTTCATCTCCGACTTCGGATTGCTCCAGTCGCTAGTCTCCCAGAACAACCTCACGGCACCACCACCTTTGGTTCTCTGAATCTGAGTCTTCCGAAACAGAAAACCCCTTCAAATCCAATCCTTCGGTACTTGCATTTCTAATCTGATTGTGTAATGAAGCTTCAGCTTTTGTTGTTATTATAATTATAATACCTATGTGTATGTTTTCAGATTCCAATATACTATATGTACCGTCGTGATTCATGTATAACTATCATTCTAAATCTGTCAAATCTGCAGAAACACTAAAACAACGGCCATCTCTCCAGTCTGTGTATTGGCCATCTCCTTTTTCGTTGTTGCCCACTGTGTCCACAACGTTAACACCGAATCATCAAGGCAACCCTATAGAACTGCCTTCCACTTTCAACCGCCCAAAAACTGGATCAACGGTATATACTCTACCTCCTTTCCTTTCTTTATTTTCCTCTCTTTCAATGTTTGTTGTCTCATATTTCTCACACTTTGTTCTTTTCGTCTCTTTGTTTTGTCATTTTTGACATGGTACGTTGAAAATGGACATCCGGGCGTGTTTTGCAGATCCCACTGGTTACTTCTATACCCTTTGCTTTGTTTCTTTCTTCTTTCTTCTTCTTCCTTTTTTTTTTTTTAATTTTTTTTTATCAAGTCTAGCTGCGCATTACGTATTTAATTAATGTATTATTTATACAACAATCAACTTGAGAGTTTATGGCTTGAAGCTCAACTTCCATCTATCATTATTTGGCAGCCCCATTTCCCATTTTGGGAAAGGCGAGGTAAGAGAGAAATATTGAAAAACGCAATTGGAAAATATCTGGTATTATTAAATTATATAAAAATGGGGCTTTTGTAATGCCTAAATTTAGCTATATTATTGCTTAAATATGATGACAAGACTTGAGAGCTCCTAGGAGCGCATTGTTTAGACGTGATTGCAGCAGAGATTTGTAACTTTGTTGTCTGCCAACTCATTGTTTAGAGTCAATTATATATTATCAAATATATATAATACATGAGGTCCAAAATAAACAAAAATATATTTCAAATCGTGTGTTTGTGTATTTTCTTCGAGTGAATCTTATAACCACTTTTATATATGTTCAGGGCCTATGAGATTCAAGGGGTTGTATCACTTGTTCTACCAGTACAACCCCGAAGGTGCTGGGTGGGTTCGGGGGAAGATAGTGTGGGGCCATTCAGTATCAAAGGATCTCGTTGATTGGACCATATTAGACACCGCCATCTATCCATCTGAGCCATTTGACATCAATGGTACCTGGTCAGGATCGACCACGATTCTTCCAAGTGGCAAGCCTGCCATTTTATATACTGGAGTTGACCTACACAAACTTCAAGTCCAAAACTTGGCCTTCTCAAAAAATGCCTCAGATCCATACCTCAAGGAATGGGTTAAGATCCCTCAGAACCCCTTAATGGCTCCAACTAGGGCTAATGGAATCAATTCAAGCTCATTCAGGGACCCTACCACTGCTTGGTTAGGCAAAGATGGGCACTATAGAGTCCTAGTTGGGAATCAAAGGAACACTAGAGGGGTGGCTTTATTATACAGAAGTAAAGATTTTGTGAACTGGGTTAAAGCCAAACACCTTATTCATTCCGCTAAAGGCACTGGAATGTGGGAGTGTCCTGATTTCTTTCCAGTGTTGTCTAACTCCACGTTTGGCGTTTATACTTCTGTTGATGGACCTTTTGTTAGGCATGTACTTAAGGTCAGTTTGGACGATTATAAACATGATTGCTATCTCATTGGGACTTATGATGCTAAGAAGGATAAGTTTGTCCCGGATACCGGATTCCAAAATGTTGATTCTGTCTTGAGATATGATCATGGAAAATATTATGCTTCCAAAACGTTTTTTGATGATGCAAAGAAGAGGAAGGATCTTGTTAGGCTGGGTCAACGAATCCTCAATCGATGCTGTTTATCTCAATAGCGGATGGTCAGGAATACATGTAAGTGGACGGTATATTTATATTGCTTTAAAACAAATTCATTGATACTTTTAAAAATGTCAGGTTGAAGACGTGTGTATCTAGAACTTCTCTATCTATATTTAGTGCGAAATTGAACCAAAATAAATTTACTAAACAGAATGTTTTGAATTACTTATAACATGTGACTTGTAGGCCATACCAAGGGCGATTTGGCTACACAAGTCAGGGAATCAGTTGGTGCAATGGCCGTTGGTCAAAATTGCGAAGCTGCGAGCAAAACCAATCAGCTGGGCAACCAGGGTGCTCAAGGTTGGCCAACACATCCAAGTTACTGGCGTCACAGCTGCGCAAGTAAATCTTAAGAACCCTCCTTTACGTTTATTATAATAAATAATTTGGAATAATCAGTTTGAGATGAGTTTAACACATGTGGAGGCTGATGTTGAAGTTTCATTTGAAGCAAATGAGTTTGGGAAGGCAGAAGTGTTGGATTACTGGGTGAAGCCTCAGCTTCTTTGCAGCAGAAAGGGTGCAGCAGTAAGAGGTGGTCTGGGACCTTTTGGCTTGCTTGTGTTTGCTTCAGAAGACTTGAAAGAATACACCGCCGTGTTCTTCAGAATCTTCATGCATCAACGCAAACCTTTGGTCCTCTTCTGTAGGGATCAAAGCAGGTTTGTGCCCTCCCCTTTACAAATTAAACTTGTATCAATTCGTTAATTTCTCCGATCCTTATCTCACATAGAGAAGCAAAAATTTGACAGGTCTTCATTGAATAATGATCTCACCACTTATGGGACCTTCCTTGATGTTGACCCTTATCAGGAGAGTCTCTCACTCAGAAGCTTGGTATGAGTTGCAATAAATCACTATCCTATCCATAAGCTTCATTCTTTGTTATTTCAAGATCCTTATATAATAGTGTTTGTGATTGCCCATTATTTTTCACAGATAGATCACTCAGTAGTGGAGAGTTTTGGAGGAGAAGGCAAGGCAGTGATCACGGCCAGAGTTTACCCCACATTGGCCATCAATGATGAGGCTCACCTTTATGTCTTCAGTTATGGCGCTGCTGACGTTAAGATCACCACATTGAATGCTTGGAGTATGAAGAAGGCGCATATCACTTGAAACTAGCTAGGCACAAAAAAACAGTGGGATCCGTATGACCATGGTCGACACAATTTTGTGTGGATGTTTTCTAAAATTTTAAATTATCAAATGAATATATACATTTTGGATGCATGGAGTGCCAATAAATATTGTCTCTCTTACGATATACTGTGTTACGTACTTTTCTTTATATTTAATTATTTATTTTGTTGTTGTATATATATATATTTTCATTTTAAGCCTATGTTCATATTAATTTATTCATGATTAGTTTGACCGACTGGGGCCTCAGCTTGTTCAATTATCAGTATGATATTTTTTATACAGATTTTAAGAAATAGTGAAAGAGCATAGATGATCGGATATGATGCTTCTGGAGTAGCTGAAAATTTCTTTCCCTTGTTAGGAATATTCCCTTGGACCTGTTTTTTTTTTTTTTTCCGTTTTCATTTTCCACCGTTGGATGTATCCAAGGACCAATATTTATTTATTTGTGATTTTCTAAAGTTTTGTCAAATTTTTCTAGACCATTTGATTTATTGTACGGTCTAGATTGTGAAGGAGAGATATGATTGGGGTATAACCTTTGATGAAAAGAATTCAAGTCCTGAAATCTCATGGAATCAATTTCAGTGCTCATCACAGTAATAAATATTATGATAAGTAAAATCTACACTACTCAAATACATTTTTAATAATTTAGATTTAAAATTTTCAACTAATAATTTTTAAATAAAGAAATTATTTTTTTAGAAACTAACAGTTAAAGAATTACATCCATTTGGGATTATCTATCTATTAAAGGTAAATATTTTTTTTAAAAAAACCAACATAAAAAATTAAATCTCAATCGTCTATGTTAAATTTAAATAGTTAAGATTTAATAAGTATTATGGTGCTCATCACTGCGATGAGCACCGAAACTAGTTCCGAAATCTCATTCCGTATCTTAATTTGTGCCAACATAACTTAATCATTTTTTAAAAGTATTTAATATATGCGTACAAAAAGATTGGATGAACATCTATACTATTATTTTATTAGTATTTTCATGTAAGAATGTTTTTCAGAGTTTTAAAGCGGAAATATAAAATATTATCTTTATTAATTAGATCTTTGTTATCAGGCATTTGGATTCTTATAGCAATAGCCTAACAATAGCAACAGTAACGTCAGCAAGATCACGCAGAGCTTTGTTTTCGTTTGTAAGCGGAGAAGTGCTGCCAGAAAATCCTTCATCGCAAACTTTAGCGTCGAGTCCCATAGAAGTTGCACCTTCTTCTGCAAATTTTGGGTTTCCTAATTCCAGAGCTCGATCGATTTTTGGAACAAATACATCTATCATGATCTTGTATGACTCAGCACATGATCTTAGTGCCTTCTCTTGCTTTGGCTCTAAATGTTCACTTTTCAGGAGCTGGTTGATCTTATTACTTGTACTCTTCACTTTTGCCGTCATGACTTTGTTCATAATTAGAGCTAATCCTGTGTGAATAATCAGGGTTTTAGTTTTTTTATTTATTCGACGATTAATGAAAAGAGAAGAACCATAGGGTGATTGATTAGTGTTTGTGCGTTTACCTGCGACATCAGCGTTGGAGCTAGCAGGATCGGATTTGAGAGAATGAACGCAGAGATTATAGTTAGGAGTCTGCATGCAGGTGGCCTCAGGTTATTATTGCAATGGCTGGGTGATAATATGGAGATTATTGTAGTCATAGTAAAGATGATCATTAGCGTTTGAGATTTGAGGTTCTTCATGATGATGAAGAAAATGGATGAGAGGTATGGAGATTGTATTGTATTTCCCAAAATTGAAGGATGCTCGGCCTTCTTCAGCTGGGGCTGTTTATATAGCAGGCCGACAACCACTACAATGATGAATTTGGATCTCGCAATTAATAATGCGGTGCCTTTTTAGCAATTAAAATTTTAATGTTCTTAAATGTCATTAATACACCTCCTAAATCATTAATGGTCATTTTTTCATTCTAAAATAGTGATCTGATTATAAGGTAGAGAGAATTTTTTTTTGGTCATATTAATAAGTCACATTATTATCCTTCATTTATTATTTGTATAGACTTTGAACTTTTTGGGTAAAATGTATGTTAAATGTAAATAATTAAAGTTGTAAAGTTATTAAATTTTAAAGTGAGTTAATAAAATTTAAAGATTTTCTTGGTTCTAATAAAACATACTTTCTCTGATCCTATATATAAACTTCAAATAATCGAATCACGTTTAACGAACTAGTAGTTAAAATTAGTTCAAAGTAATAAATGGGTCAGAAATATAATTTTTTTTTTAAATTTGCCTTTATTTATTAAGAGAGTAAATGAGAGAGAAAATAAAAAAAATGATGGAAGAGATTATATGGAGATAATATTAATGAGAGAGAGGAAGCATTAAATACAGTCAAATAAAGGCAAAATAAGAAAAAATAATATTAAATCCTTGGACAAACTCAAAAACAAAGCTTATATTTTGAACCATATCCTTTTCTAAAAGTGAAGCTTGTATATAGGATCTGAGGGAGTATTGGAAGTAATTTATAAATAAGATTTATAATTAAATATTATTAAGTACTAATATTTTAAAAATATGACACATGGTCATATATAATTAGAAAACTTGACGTAAGTATTGTTACTAATAAGTGTATTATTATAAAAGAATTTTATGAAGCAAATTGGATTATAGTGCATTCCAAAAACTTATCCTTTGACAAAAACGCACAAGAGCACCAAAAAATTTCTCCATATTACTTAGCAAGTCTTTATTATTATTGAGATCATCTGGAGATATTATGAATTACGGTATCATGTAAAGTTCTGCTATGTTAACTTCGTGAGGCCTTCTGAATTAAATATTATTATTTTTATAATTAAAATAAATTAGTAATGGTTTCTTTTAATAATAACCAAATTCAGCTAAGTATTATTAAAATTTTAAGTCCAACATTTTAATTATTAAAATGTAAGGAAGAAAATTGCAAGTCACTCCAGTAGCTCCCGTCATTTCCTAAGAACAGATTTATGCTCCCCTCCCCCCTCTCTCAGTTAAAAAGAAATTTAAAACTTAAATATTAAATTGAATAAATACCAATTAAAATCCAATTCAATTTAATTCAAATTAACAAATTAATAATAAAAAATAAAAAATTAATAAATACGAATAAAATAATAATTTTTAACTAAGTATTAAACTTTAAAAAATCATAAAAAAATTAAAAACTGAATTTTTTTTTATATATAAGATATCAAAATGTCATTTATTTTATGTAAAATTTAATTAAAAAAATAGAAGCTCAGAAAAATATCTGAGAAGAACCACAAAACCAAGGGGTGGGGCCACAGCTGACAAGGGCAGCTTACACCCCATTGACTTTGTTAAAATTCAGTTTATAATTTTTTCATATTTAATAATTTAATTTTTATCGTATACTATCTCTGATTCTTAATATAAGAGTTAGTTGACTAATTTGAATAAAGTAAGAAAATTTGTTAAGTTAGTTACTTATAATAAATAAGTGTTATCTTTTTTAAAATATCCTTATTAATCATATGTATCAGCTAAAACTATTATTTAATGAAACATATAATACGTACAACTACTACAAGGATTATATTGAAAAAAATAGATAAATATAAGACCAAGTAGGTTAGGATTTTATATCTAGGACCAAACTTGCTCTTATATGAAGGACTGATAGTATAATTTATTTTGAATCAGTAATTAATTATCCTCTGTGTCAAAATATATTATTTAACACTCTTCACCGAAGACGATGACGATCAACAATGGGATATGCCAATGTGCTCTGATTATTTTCCCTAACTTCTAACTTCACTATCTCAACCTGCACATCCTGATGAGCCCACTGCCTCCACCATGGGCTAGCCTCCACAACCCGCTTGTTTCTGGTAAATGCACTGGATGACTCTCGCTCCTATGGTAATGTCCTCGCTTGGTTCTGGTTTGTCATCTCCCCTCTCTGCTTCTTCCCATTCTGGCTCGCCTTCGGAAATCGGAATCCCTCTCCCCGCTACTATCATGTCCGAATACGCCGTACAAGGAAGACTTGTGGAGAGTTTATTGCCGCCGCCGTGTCTGCTATGCAAGAACGACATACCATTTTCAACCGCCAAAAAGAATTGGATCACAGGCATTCTATCCATATTGTTGATCCAGTTCTTTGAAAGTTGAAAACGATATGTTGTTCTGTAAGGTCGACTTGATTCAGTGCAGACACAGCGGCCAAGAATTAGGTAGGAGATGGCCAATAAGAGATGGCCATTGCTGTAGGTTGTGTTTTCTGCACATCTGAGACATGAGAATGGAAGTTGAGTCACAAGGGTAACACAGGTGTTATTTAATAACAACAAAAGCTGAAGCTTATATTACACAACCAAATCATCATTGTTAAGGAAATATAGCAGCCGTGGAAATATATCGAAGAACTTGAAAAGGAAGAAGGCTCAAACTACATAATCCAGACACCCAACTCAGAAAAAGAAGGGCAAATGCGTAAATTACTTTGCTGCGTGTTTATTTGTTTATACGTACTTTTATTATTGGATTAATTTCATATTCTGGAAACTTATATCGCTATAAAATTTGCTTTCCAAGTCATGTCATGTAACTTCTGGTTTCTGAATACTTCCACAAATAACAAGTTTAAAACTAAGAAAAGAGCCAATAAGGGACTTACGCTCCTCCTATATACGTATAATAATGTAACACAGTCTTACATTTTAGACTGAGGGAGTAGTATTTCCTTTTCCTTGTGCCCCACTGCTTTACGTCTCTACTCTCTTGTGTGATACTGATATTATCAGTTTACTCCTCAGCGATATTTTATTTGCACTTTTACTTAAAGCATCTTCACTTCTGGGCTTTTTCCACACTGGTTGTTTATGGAAGTATTCAGAGGCCAGAAGTGATGCCCAGTTACTCAAATTAACAATCACCATATTCGTGGCCAATTTTTGCCTGACATTATGACCAGAGGAAAAAATGGCCCAACCAAACAAGCATGGGCCCATAATCTATGGTATGAACAAGATGAAACCATAATAATAATGGAGACGGTGAAGAAGAGGAGTGACCGAGGCGTAAATTTATCTCTGTATCTAGCTTTGTATATGAATTATCATTTTCTTGAAACGACGACATATGACCCCAAAATGACTCTATTTAATACAAAGGCCAACCATATTAATTGCTCAAACACTATAACTTGGTTTATATATATACTTCTCTTGTTCTATTTATAAACCACTTTTAGTATGTTTCACATCGATCAAGAAAAACTTTAAACTTCATTAACTCGTTTAAAATTCAACAACTTTCCAATTTTATTCCTATTTAATATACATTATATCTTATTTAAACAAAGTCAACACGATAATAAATGAAGGGTAAAATTGTACATCCATACAAAAAATTTCTCTCAGTGCTTTATAAATAGGACACAAAAATATATTATCTCTCCACCCTATAAATAGGACCAGAGGTGTGTGTATTAATTACGTGCTGAAAACAAAAGCCAACTGAGGATCCAGCCATTTTTTGTTGTTCACAAGACTCCTCATGTTGAAACTGATCAATTTCCGCGTCATTATGTTCCAAGCTAAGTACGATGAGGGGTTGAAGTACTTTAAAAGTCCCTTCTTGCGTTTCGTAATGTCCTTTCCAATTAATAAATAGACTGAAGAAAGAGGTAGGGGACGAAATACTTAAAGAGGCAAGAAAGTGAATATAACTAGATCTGCTGGAGAGCATTAATTAGGTGCATAGTTTATTAGAGAAAGAAGCATTGAGTAATTCCGAATCGAATTTGACGGTATATTTTGTGAGGTGTTAATGCTTTCAATTTACTAGTAGTACACATTACATGGTTCTATATGCTTTTTACTTCCTTCCTTTTTCTTTTTATTTCTTTTAATGAAGTCTTAAATATTTAATTAAGTTTAATAACAACTTGAGAGTTTATTGGCATAAGCTCAGCTGCTATCTAACATTATTTGGGCGTCCCATTTCCCATTTTGGAAATGGCGAGGTAAAAGCAAAAAATGTGTATAGAAAAACCCAGTTGAAATATATCCATTATTATATTATATTAAAAATGAGCCTATTTCTAATAACCAAATTTAGCTATATTACTATTCAAACAGGATAAGACTGTAAAGCTCCGAGGAGCGCATTGTTTTTTTTGTTGAGTAGTGTTTCCTACTGTGCCTAAATATATATTACTATAAAGCATATATATAAGTATAACATTTTAAAGTAAATTAATGCACGACGTCTAAAATAAGTGATGTTATGAGCTGTTTGGCTATGGACAATTGTGGTGGGATGCCATTTTTGCCGAACATTTACTATAATAAGATGATGGTGTGGGACAGTCGATTGTTTCATTATACTTGTAACAGAATTAATTGAAGGCGAAATTAGAAATATTCAACGTGTGAAATCCTAAAACTATATATTATATTACCTTCTCTCTTTAATATAAAATTTTGTTGACTGATTTGAAAAGATGAAATAAGCTAAATAAATTAGTTTAAATTAAAATATTTATTATTTTTCTGTTTGACTTATAAACTGGTATATAATCTAATGGTTCACATTTAAAAAGAAAAATCTTGTAACATACGTTATTATTGAATAATTTATTTAGCTTTCTTAATTTCTCTAAATTAGCAAACTAGATCTTGTATCTTGTATTAATAATAAGATGTAGCATTTGATAGTAATTATAAATCTTATAAAGTAACATGTTTACAACATTCTAACTTGGAGAATTTCTAAGGAAAATTCTTTGATAACTTTCGTTCTTGCGAGTTGTCCATGTGGAAAATTTTAAAGGAAAAGAAAAATGATCACCATATATACATATATAGTCAGAGAACTAAAGGAAACAAGAGAATGAATGACAGCTCTAAATGGAAGTACTAAACTGAGGCATGTGAACTCATTGATAGTAAGTTATACACGTACATCTGATCATTACAGCTAAGCATATAAGTTAATTGACACGTCAGCTATATATAAAAGGGTGACCGATTTGAAAATGCATGCTGCAAGAAATAAAATGTTTCTAACAGAACAACTCTACTGCGAACCGTGATTAATTGGATTGTCATCGGAGTTCTATTAATGAACAAAAAGGAGACAACTTTAAATATAATTTTTTTATAAGAAAAAATTTAAGTATAATTAATCAATTCTAATTTCTAAATAGGGTCCTAACCTAAATTTAGACTACAATATACATTTAGTTCTTTAATTTTATATAAAGTTTTAATTTGGTCCTTTAATTTTAAAAAGGATACATTTGATCCTTTAACCCAAAAACCATTAGGCTTGAATGATGATTTTTTGTAACAATCATGGTTATTTTAAAAAAAAAACTTAATGTGTTAGTATTTGAGCATGTTTTATCAACATTTAAGAGCCTAAAGTCATCATTTTTTGTATACTTTTTAAAGTGAAGGGACGAAATTGAAATTTTCTGCAAAGTTAAAGGACTAAATGTATACTTTAACCCCTAAATTTAATAAGAAAATAACTAGTGAGTCACATCAGATATTTTATTTAAAACAAAGTAATTGAATATTTAGAATAATCGAATAATTATAATATCCAAAATATAATATAATATAATTAATAAATAAACAAACCAGTTTTGCTCATTTTTCTCATTTTTTCCTACGTGTATAATTCAAAGGGTTTCGACTTCCATTTTTTTTGGAAGAGTTATGTTGAAGAACAAACACAAATAAAGACACGTTTGAAAGGACACATATACCCTGACTGCATGACTTTAAATTGATCGTCACCTTCATCTTGGGCTTCAGATAGCACCAGTCGATCGCTAGTCTCCCAGAACACCACTCCCTTTTGTTCTCTGCACCTGAGTCCTCTCAACGGAAAAACCCCTTGAATCTAATCCTTTCTTATTTGAATTTCTCTCACTTATCTTAGGTGATCACTCTAATTTGTATTCTTCCCATATTTAATATACGACCTAATTGTTGAGTTAATTTTAATTCTATACGACCTAATTGTTGAGTTAATTTTAATTTTAGATATAAGATATTTTTCATATTTATCAAATTTTTCTATATTGCCTCTATTGATACTACTTCAACCATAATTAAGTAGGAGAAGAAGGGATGATATTATGGAAGATAACTGTGGCGCTTTAGAAAAAAAGTCACTGGTGTCACAGCTGCACTACAAGTGATGAATCTTAGGAAACCTACTTTATTTATTTATTTTTTAAATATATATTGCATATTATAGTAAATAATTTAAAATAATCAGTTTCAGATTACATGAACCCGGCCCATAAGTTACTTGTTAGGCACAATAAATATAATAATCTTTAAAAGAGTTTTACTCGTATAGAATACTATGAAACTGTATGTCATGATGAATAGCGTCTAAACCGTTAAAATTTAATTTGGATGGCTTAGTAGTGATTAAACATTTTATTAGTTTAATTTCCTGAAATTGGTGTGGCTGAACTGAGATAGTTTTAATCTCCTTCTCCGTATGGGCAGGCTGATATTGAAGTGTCATTTGATGCAAATGAGTTTGGGAAGGCAGAAGTGTTGGACCATTGGGTGAAGCCTCAGCTTCTTCGTAGCAGAAAGGGTGCAGCAGTAAAAGGTGGATTGGGACCTTTTGGGCTTGCTTGCGTTTGCTTCAGAAGACTTGAAAGACTATACTGCTGTCTTCTTGAGAGTCTTCATATACCAACGCAAACCTTTGGTCCTCTTCTGTAGCGATCAGAGCAGGTTGTGCTTATCCTCTTTACAACATCAATTTTGTTATTTTCTGATTCTTATCTGACATACAGATGCAAAACTTTGTTGACTGGTCTTCAATGAATTATATCGATCATGATCTCACCACTTACGGCACCTTTCTTGATCTTGACCCTTCTCATGAGAATCTCTCACTTAGAAGCTTGGTAAGTTGCAATAATAATAAAACCATATGCTCTTATAAACTTCATTCCTTGTTCCCATATGTCAAAAACGCACTGGAAAATACTTACATAATTTTGCTTGTCCCTTTTTCACAGATTGATCACTCAGTAGTGGAAAGTTTTGGGGGAGAAGGTAGAGCGGTCATTACAGCCAGAGTTTACCCCACAATGGCAATCAATGATGAGGCTCAACGTTATATGTTCAATTACGGTGCTGTTGATGTGAAGATCACCGGCTTGAGAGCTTGGAGCATGAAGAAAGCACAAATCAATTGAAACTGAGCTCAAAAAAGTGGGATACAATAATACTAGCTGGATTCGTTACATGAACAATTAATACAACAGATTTTATAAATGTTCTTTTTGTTTGTACTACCAAAGTATAATAAACAAGTTATATTTTTCTCTCTGATTGCCATTTCTGATTTTCCAATTAGCTCTTCCATAATATTATATACAGAGATCATCCATTACAAAATGTAAAGGCACTAATTTAATTAGACTATGCAAAAACAGTACTGTAATCACAAACAAGGCCTTTTAGCGTTGCCAGTTAATTGGTGTCTATTATATGTTGTTGAATGGGTTGTCTGTGTTGATCTTTACGTTTCAAACGAATAATAACTATCTTTCAAGTTTGAAAAGTTAAATTGTTTGATGGGATGAAATAATTAAATTTTCAAGAAAGGTTGCGTTAATGCAGTATGCACGAAATTTATATCCTGCCACCTTGCCAGTAGTCTTACTTTCACTTTTCTCGACAACAATTTAAGTTTGATATGGGTGAATTTTTGAGTGAACAACTTGAAATAATTCTATTCTCTTATATATAATTCTTTTAAACTCATACCAATTCAGTTATTATATTTTTTTTATTCGAAATAGCACAAGTTCTTCACGACAAATTTCTAGAATACGTTAGATTCATTGTTCGGTCTAGATTTTGGGCCTAGAGATGAGTAGGAGAACCTTTGATGAACAGGATTCAAGTCTCATTTCACATTCCTAATTTGTACCAACATAATTTATCATTTTTTTACTAGTTTATTTAAGAATTTATGTCTACAAGAAGATTGGATGAATATACACACTACTTGATTAGTATTTTCATGCAACAACAATATTTTTCCAATTTTAATGTGGAAATACAAATATTATTTTATTAATGTTTTATTATATATATTAAATAAATGAATCTTTTGGGAAAGAATATAATTATTTAAATATATATATTATATGATTTTACTTTTTCTCAATTGCTGGAATTATGGTAAAGTACTTTTACCGAGAAAAACTAGAGGCAATAATGTGATCAGCCGTTTCAATTCTCATAGCAATAGCCTGAAAATAGCAACAGCAACCGCCGCAAGATCGCGCATAGCGTTGTTTTCTTTTGTAAGCGGTGATGTGCTGCCGGAAAACTCTTCTTCACAATCTTTGGCTTCCATTCCAGTAGATACTACGCCTTCTTCTGCAAATTTTGGGTTTCCTGTTTCCAAAGCTCTCTCAATTCCCGGAACATACAACTCTATCACATTTTTGTACGAGTCAGCACAATATCTCAGTGCCTTCTCCTGCTTCGGTTCTAAATGTCCACTTTTTAGGAGCTGCTTGATCTTATAACCCGTGCCCTTCGCTTTCGTCGTCATGACTTTCACCATAATTAGAGCTAGCCCTGTGAATATTCATGATTCGATGATTGATTCAATGATTAATGAAAAGAGATAAATAATAGGATAATTAACATGTCAGTGTACATTTGTGGTTTATTACCCCTGACATCAGCGTCGGAGCTAGCGGGATCCGATTTGAGAGATTGAACACACAGATTGTAGCGAGGGGTCTGCTTGCAGGTATTCTCTATCAGGTTATTGCAGCGGCTGGGTGATATTATGGAGATTGTGACGATAGTAAAGATTATTATTAGCGTACGAGATTTCATGTTGTTCATGATGATGGAAATGAAGATAGATATGGGGATGTACTGTACTGTATTTCGCAAAATTGAATGGTGCTTGGTCTGTTTCAGCTAGCGCTATATAACATGCAAGCAGTTTTGGCACAATATATATATATATAACATGAAAACTACAATAATAATGGGTTTGGATCTTTATTCAATTAATAACGAAAATATTTAGTTTTGAAATTTTAATGTTCTTAAATGTCATTAATTACCACCTCTTGTGAATCATTAATTGCCTTTTGTTTTTACTTTTAAAAAAAAGATTTCAAAGTACTTCCTCCAGTTTATAATAAAAGAAGTCTTATGAAAAAAAAAAATTTTGATCCAAAATATAAAAAATTGACAGGGTAATCAAATATAGTTTTTTTTTTACTTTTACCTCTTGTTATAAAGAGGAGAGAGTTTTAAATGTAGGAGAAAGATGAGAGAGTTTTTCAATCCAACTCTTTAGGGGGTGTTTGGATAGAAACCAAACTATGGTTTCAAAAATGCTTTTACGGATTACGAAGTAAATATGTGGAGGAGGTTACCTCGTTTTGCGGAAAAGCGATTCTAAAACCTAGGTTTTGGTTTTGCCAAACACCCCCTTAATAGGGTAAAATAGTTACCTTTTTTCATTGGTTAAAAAGTTAACTTTTATCAATTTAAAACACATTTAATGACTTAAATAATATTTCTTAATTTGTGAGAAATTTTAATTGACCCCTTATATTATGGATAGGAGATAATCAGATAATACTCTGATTTCTATTATAAGGCACTTCTCTAATGACCTCACTAGAATTTATAAGAGGTGGTTAAATCATTAACTTCGTCTGAAAATGAGATGAATTTTCATTTTTACCTATTTTTAAATAAAAAAATTTTAAATTTTGTATTACATTATTCTCTCTCGTTGTTAATGATTCTAAATAAGGACAATATTAGAAAAACTTAATTCATATCTCATCCGATTTATAATAAGAATTATGCATTTCTTCTAGGATGCGAATTATAATATTAATAAGAATTGGAAGAAATAATACTCTCTCTCCTCATGGTTACGAGAGCCTGCTGGTCCTTCGCATTTCTTATTCGTTCAGTGTTCTTGTCTTTAATATGCATTCCTCTTTTTTTTTTTTTTTTGGCCCCCCCTTTTCGATTGCTCCATCTTTCCATTGCAAAATGTCGATCCCCACCACGAAAATCCAAACCTAATTAGTCTTTTATATATATAAATATATATATTTATAAGGTTTCATATAGGTCTACCTTGCACTATTTAGAAGCATTTGAATGGAAACTAAACCATAATTTTAAAAGTAATTTGACAATATATGAAATAAATATGTAAAGAAATTTGTCTCGATTTGCAAAAGGCTATCTTTTAAAAGCAATTTTGGAGTATTTTAAACACCCCCTTTGATTAAAAAGTATTTTAAAAAAGGGGTCAACATTTATTTTATTTATGATTTGCTTGTGTTTTGTGCAATTTCACTTGCCATTAGACTCATTGTACGGTATAGATTGCGAAGGAGACGTGATTGGGAGGGAGAACCATTGTTGAACAGAATTCCATATATTACTCCTTTCGGTTAAAAATATAAGATTAACTATGTTCTACATCTCTGTAAATGAAACTAACTGTACTGTTCATTATATGAATTTGTTGATAAGGATCAACTCTGCAGAAAGCAAACCTAGCTAGTTAAGAAACCAAATAAAAGAATGATAAATAACATTACAGGATCAAAATACTAATTTAATCAAAAATTGGCATGCACATATTTTACTGTATTCTTTGTCCATTTTTCCTCCTTTAGTACTTGCCTGCCCCCGGATAATGTAATGATGTTCAGCAATTTTTGCTTTTCTTCGGACATGACTTCTTGGAAATAGCACCACACATTGTGTGTGTCAGTGTGTGTGTGTAGACACCAGGATCACAAATGTAAATAATTACACTCCACAAGAACACGCACAGATGTTATGGTATATATATCCATACAAATTGTCCCATGCATGTTAGAGGTAGAAAAGTTGGCATTAATTTTGTAACAACTTTAATATATGTTCAGGGCCGATGAGATTCAAGGGGCTGTATCATTTGTTCTATCAGTGCAACCCTGAATATCCTGGTTGGGTTTGGGGGAAGATAGTGTGGGGCCATTCAGTATCAAAGGATGTCGCTGATTGGACCATACTAGACACAGCCATCCATCCATCTGAGCCATTTGATATCAATGGTACCTGGTCAGGATCGGCCATGATTCTTCCAAGTGGCGAGCCTGCCATTTTATATACTGGAGTTGACCTGCAAAATCGTCAAGTTCAAAACTTGGCCTTCCCCAAAGATGCCTCAGACCCATACATTACGGAATGGGTTAAGATCCCTCCAACTAGGGCTAATGGAATCAATTCAAGCTCATTCAGAGACCCCACCACTACTTGGTTAGGCAAAGATGGGCACTATCACTACAAAAAAACAGACTTTAGGTGACGACAAAAAAAGTCGCCGCTGAAAGTTTGCCATTGAAACCAAGACTTTCAGCGGCGACTTTTTTTGTCGCCGCCGAAAGTGGATTTTAAAAAGTCGCCGCTGAAAGTTTGTTATTAAAACCAAGACTTTCAGCGGCGACAAAAGTGTCGCCACCGAAAGTGAATCTTCAGTGGCGACTTTTTTTGTCGCCGCCAAAAGTGGACTTTTAGCGGTGACTTTTTTAGTCGCCGCTGAAAGTTCGCCATTGAAACCAAGACTTTCAGCGGCGACAAAAGTGTCGCCGCTGAAAGTATAATATAATAATATATATTTTATTTTACAATATTAATAAACAAATTCAATTTGGCTCAGCGGCAAGAAGGTTGGACACGAAAGGAGACGGTCACGAGTTCGAATCTGGAAGAAGACACATTTAAGATGAAAATATTTGGACGATGACGTCGCGAGGAGGAGTGATGTGGCAATGACGTGGAGGTGGCTAGTGATGATGTGGCGGTCGGCGGTGATGATGTGGCTGCCGATGGCGATGACGTGGAGGTCACGACGGTGATGACGTGGCGGCCAGAGACGATGACATGGCATCGACGGTGATGACGTGACATTGGTAAAGCCAATTCTTCTTAGGCATTACTTTCAGCGGCGACAAAAAAGTCGCCACTGAAAGTTTTCAGCCACGGCTGTTACGGCAACGACTTTTCAGCGGCGACTTTTGTACTTTCAGCGGCGACTTTTATCGCCGCTGAAAGTCAATTTTTTTTGTAGTGTATAGAGTCTAGTTGGGAATCAAAGGAACACTACAGGGGTGGCTTTATTATATAGAAGCAAAGATTTTGTGAATTGGGTTGAAGCCAAACACCCTCTTTATTCTGCTAAAGGCACTGGAATATGGGATTGTCCTGATTTCTTCCCAGTTTTGTGTAAGTCCAAGTTTGGTGTTGATGCTTCTGTTAATGAACCTTTTGTGAGGCATGTGCTTAAAGTTAGTTTGGACGATACAAAACATGATCACTATCTCATTGGGACTTATGATGCTAAGAAGGATAAGTTTATCCCGGATACCGGATTCAAGAATGTTGATTCGGTTTTGAGATATGACTATGGGAAATATTATGCCTCCAAGTCGTTTTTTGATGATGCAAAGAAGAGAAGGATCTTGTTAGGCTGGGTCAACGAATCCTCAAGCGATTTTGTTTATGTCAAGAGAGGATGGTCAGGAATACAGGTAAGTGGACGCTATATTTACATTGCCTCGAAACAAATTCTTTGATACTTTCATAAATGTCAAGTTGAAGACGCAATAACCTAGCACAAATATTTTGCCAAAGAAAATATTTTGAACTAACATTTGGTGTAATTTGTAGGCTATACCAAGGGTGATTTGCCTTCAAAAGTCAGGGAACCAGTTGGTGCAATGGCCGGTGGTCGAAATCGAGAAGTTGCGAGGAAAACCAATCAGCTGGGCAACCAGGGTGCTCAAGGCTGGCCAACACATTCAAGTCACTGGCGTCACAGCTGCACAAGTAAATCTTAACAACCCTCCTTTATGTTTATTATAATAAATAATTTAGAATAATCAGTTTGAGATTACGTCAACACATGTGCAGGCTGATGTTGAAGTTTCATTTGAATCAAATGAGTTTGGGAAGGCAGAAGTGTGGGACTCCTGGGTGAATCCTTAGCTTCTTTGTAGCAGTAAGGGTGCAGCAGTAAAAGGTGGTCTGGGACCTTTTGGCTTGCTTGCGTTTGCTTCAGAAGACTTGAAAGAATATACTGCCGTCTTCTTCAGAATCTTCATATACCAACACAAACCTTTGGTCCTCTTCTATAGCGATCAAAGCAGGTTTGTGCTTATCCTCTTCACAAGCTTTTATCAATTTTCTTAGTTTCCGATCCTTATCTGACATACAGATGCAAAACTTTGACAGGTCTTCGATGAATCATAAGTATCATGACCTCGCCAATCAAGGGACCCTCCTTGATGTTGACCCTTCTTACAAGGATCTCTCACTTAGAAGCTTGGTGAGTGGCAAATAAATCAATATGACATCCATAAACTTCATTCTTTATGTTGGTTTAAAATCCTTATATAACGCGTGTGATCTTCCATTTTTCACAGATTGATCACTTGGTGGTGGAGAGTTTTGGAGAAGAAGGTAAGGCAGTGATCACAGCCAGAGTTTACCCCACATTGTCAATCAATGGCGAGGCTCAATTCTATGTCTTCAATTATGGTGCTGCTGACGTCAAGATGACCACATTGAATGCTTGGAGCATGAAGAAAGCACGCATCAAACGTAACTGAAACTGGGCACTATAAAAGTGGGATCAATATGACCAGGTTTTATTTGACAAAAATATGATTACTCTTGCATGAGCGTTTAGAATATTTAATGCTTTTCCAAGAAATGTCCCTATTGCAATTTCCAACAAGTGTATATATAGAGAGAGGGTGTTTTTTTTTCCTTTTAAATGACGGTATTAATTACAAATTAGGAGTGAAAATAAAAAAAAATCAATTTTAAGACCATTTTAATGGTATAACTAACCGTTCTTAATTTTGTTGATGAAATAATTAAAAGTGATATAATTCTCTGATCATATTTATAAGACACTTCCATCATGCTTTACACAGATCAAGAAAAACCTTAAACTTCATTAACTTTTATTTAAAATTTAATAACTTTTCAATTTTATCCTTATTTAATATATATTATACCTCATGTAAACAAAATCAATACAATAATAAATGAGGGGTAAAATTATATATCCATACAAAAAATTTATCTTAGTACTCTATAAATAGAACAAAAAAATGTTTTCTTTCTTTGCCCTGTAAATAGGACTAGTGAAGTATATTTAGAATCAGAAGAAACATTAACCCTAGTGTTGAGGGTTTTGTGAAGTTGAGGGGTTGTGGGGTTTCATTAAGGGGTTTGAATTTCTTGGTATTTTGTTTAACAAAATGTTGCTGTTGCAATTCGAATTTCTGGTTCATCCAGATATTAAGCAGATAAATATTTTTCCTTTAAATTTTATTACTATACACACAAGATATTTATGTATATGTGAAGATAAAGTTTTCATAGTGAAAGTAGGGTCTCATGTTTTCTTTTGCTAAGCACATCTATATCTGTTAGAGGCAATCATGTACAAGGTACTATCAGATGGTAAATATAAATATTTTTTTAATAAAAATTTAAATATTAATTCATCATATTTGGTGGCTCTGCTAAACCCAATCTCTTTTGGTGAGGGAATCTAAATTTTGGACCACCTCATAACCGAGTAGAAGTCAGTTGGTGTTGTTGGAAAACAGAAAATAAGAAGAGGAAGTCATTGGGCCTTAAAATCTAATGTGGCCCATTTTAGATGTCCATTTCTCCCTCAATTGGCACATGCTCGTACTTGATCCAAATAGCCTTCTAATTTCTCTCTTCTTCCTCTCTCCATCCCTCCCTGATTCGCTTATCGCCTTTTCTGTTTGGCGAGACTCCACTGACCACCATCCGCATACCACACACACACTTTGCCATCCACTGTACGTGATCTCTTGCCTCCGACGCTATCCTTTCTATTTCATTCCTGCTTTAGCCATCTTAGTAAAGTTTCATTGCCATAGCGTAGCTTGCCTATTCAGGTGATTTGCTCTCCTGTCACCAGCATCGTTGTTGTTCCACTCAAGATCAGCCAGCACTTCAAATCGGGATTTTTACCTCTTCGTCTTGCCTCGAGAAATGTGTTCTGACCTGCTCGATGCCTCGACTGGAGATTCTCCCGTTGGAGAGTTCCTCTGGCTTCAGTTTCTCGAAGATAGGCGACCCAACATCCACTTCCCAGATTCTTTCGTCCGCCAGTAAGTTGCTACTGCCCTCCTTCGGTGGATGTGACTGATTAATGATAACCAAGAGAAAGTTGAATTTGGATTTTGATTAATGGTGAAAGACAATTCAAGTTGTTGACTTTGACTGTTGATTAATGGTGAGAGAATCGAAGTTGCTTAATGGTTGCCACGACCACAACTAGGATTACATCACTTTGGTGACATTGTAATCCACTGCCGCCATTTCGGTTTAAGTGATGTAATCCCAGTTGTTTTGGTGATCCATAGTTCACGCTATTTCATTAAAGAAAACAATGCCATTTTGGAAGTCTTGGTGTTTGTCGCTCTGTCTCATGTATGATTCTAGCTGTCGGTTCATTCTAACTTGAATTTCTTCTTCGTGCAGCACTTTGTGATTTTCTAGGACTAATACTGACGAATTGTTCCAACTCAAAACCAATATTGAGTTTCTCTTTATAAAAAAACATTTTGGGTCAGTGAAGAACTAATTCGAAGCTGGAATCTCAGTCTAAAAATTGATACTATTAAATAACAACTAGTAATTTTGCAGGGGCAGCCTGAGTGAACCAGAGAGGCAGTGCGGAGCTTCCGGAAGCCCTTGGCTTACAATTTCTTTACACAAAAAATTACTCCTGCCATTGGCACTGCAGCCTTGACGAATTGCTTCTGCTTCCTCACCTCTTTATCAATTCAATGGATCAAAAATCAAAGCTTATCAAAGCTCTTTTCAAGAACACCAAGAATCCCAGACTTGCATGGCATCTCTTCAAGCGCATTCTGTCTTCATCTTCTTCCTCCTCATCTCCTTGTTATCTTCGTTCCATACCTATCATTGTACGTATCCTTATTGGCGCACATATGCACAAGGAGATCGATGAACTCCCCCAACTCCTTCCTGTCTCACGGAACCCTGATGTTGGCCTTGCGTCTCTCACTTCCTTTGTTCAAATCCTGGCATCATTGGGCCACCTTGATAAGGCTGTCTTACATTTCAAATCCCTTAGAACTCGATTTCCAGCAATGCCTCCTGCGGTTTCTTTATACAATGTACTTCTTCAAGCTAGTCTTAAAAGGAACCGTCCAGATTTTGTTAAATGGCTGTACACAGACATGATTGCGGCTGGGGTTAAACCAGAAACTTATACGTTTAATCTCTTAATTCAGTTGTTGTGTGACTCTGGTCATTTAGATGATGCTCGAGACCTGTTTGATAAAATGTCTGAAAAGGGATGTCAGCCAAATGAGTACAGTATTGGGATTCTTGTTCGTGGGTTTTGTAGAGCTGGGTTCACTGCCCAAGGCTTAGAGCTTCTCAACCAGTCAAAGAATGGTCATCCTTTCCCGAATAAGGTAGTGTATAATACTCTGATATCTAGCTTTTGTAGAGAAGATCGAATTGATGAAGCTGAAAAATTAGTCGAAAGGATGAGAGACCAGGGTCTATTTCCGGATGTTGTTACTTTTAACTCTAGGATATCGGCGCTTTGTAGAGTGGGCAAAATTTTAGAAGCGTCAAGAATTTTCAGGGACATGCAAATGGACAAAGAGCTTGGACTTCCAAGGCCTAATATCATAACTTACAATATAATGCTCAAAGGGTTTTGCAAGGAGGGCATGTTGGAGGAAGCGAGTGCTCTGCTTGATAAAATGAAAAAAGTTGGTAATTTTATGACATTAGAAAGTTATAACACATGGTTGTGGGGCTTGGTTAGAAAGGGGAAATTATCAGAGGCTCGGTTAGTTCTCAATGAAATGCTCAGCAAAGGAATTCAACCAAATATATACTCCTACAACATTATAATGGATGGGCTCTGCAGGAAACATATGCTGTCGGATGCAAAAACGTTGATAGACCTAATGAGAAATAATGGTATTTGCCCTGACACCGTAACTTATAGTATTCTCCTCCATGGGTTCTGTAGCGAAGGGAAGATTATTGAGGCAAAAAATATTCTTCAGAAAATGATCAGGAATGATTGTTCCCCAAATGCTTACACTTGCAACATATTACTGCACAGCCTTTGGAAAGAGGAGCGAACATCAGAAGCGGAGCAAATGCTGCAAAAGATGAACAAAAAAGGATACCAATTCGATACAGTTACCTGTAATATAGTCGTCAATGGTCTTTGTAGAAGGGGTGAATTGGACAAAGCGGTTGAAATTGTTAGTGAGATGTGGACTAACGGACCTGCTTCCCTTGATAAAGGAAACCTAATTGCCAGCCTAGTAAATGACATCCAAAATGTATCAAATAGATTTCCAGATGTGATCACATATACAACCATAATTAATGGGCTATGCAAGGTTGGGAGGCTCGAGGAAGCAAAAAAGAAATTTATAGAAATGATGGCAAAAGGTTTGCACCCTGATTCTGTGGTCTATGATTCATTCATTCAGAGTTTCTGTAAACAAGGAAAGATATCATCTGCCTATCGTGTCCTGAAGGATATGGAGAGAAATGGTTGCAGCAAGACTATTCAGACTTACAATTCATTGATTATGGGCTTAGGAAGTAGAAACCAAATATTTGAAATCTATGGTCTGATGGATGAGATGAGAGAAAGAGGGATATGTCCAGATGTTTGCACATATAATAATATTATTAGCCATATTTGCGATGGAGGGAAGATAAAGGACGCCACTTCCCTTTTACATGAAATGCTGGATAAGGGCATAACCCCGAATATATCCTCCTTCAAAATATTGATAAAAGCTTTCTGCAAATCCAGTGACTTTGGAGTTGCATATGAGCTATTTGAGGTAGCTCTGAGCGTATGTGGCCAAAAGGAACCCTTGTACAGTTTGATGTTCAATGAATTACTAGCTGGAGGACTGGTCTCTGAAGCAATGGAGTTGTTTGAAGCTTCATTAGATAGATCTTTCGGATTGAAAAATTTCATGTATAAAGATCTAATTGATCGGCTATGCCGGGATGATAGGTTAAATGATGCTAATTTTCTTCTCCATAAATTGATTGATAGAAAATACGAGTTCGATCATTCATCATTCATGCCAGTGATTGATGGCTTAAATGAAAAGGGAGACAAGCAACAAGTTAATGAACTTGCAACGCAGATGATGAAATTGGCTTTAGGAGATGGCTATGGAAATAAGACTTGCTACAGTGAAAGAAGGAACATCAATGGAAAAATTAACAAGGCTGGTGGAAGTGACTGGCGAGATATATTACACAGGTATTGCAATGAGGATAATCTTTTTCACCAATTTTTTCATCTCTCTTCATTTGCTGTTATTTAATTTGTCTTGGGAGACATACCTTGTTCTTTTCTTTTGTGGCTTATAGGGGGGTTGATTACCTGAAAAATCCCAAAACTGTCTTAATTATAAATTATCAGAGTAATTGAAATGGTGTAGGGTTCGCGCGAGTGACTGACATTTTCGGATGGGATTAGTCAATCTGCCTGTGTAGTTTTAAAGGTTGCTACCATATCTCTTGGGATATGACCATTGTTATGGAGAACTGTTGAATAATTCACCGAGTTTACAGAAAATGTAATGTTATATAGCATGGTACTCTTGACATGATATAATCTTTGCGTTAATTGCTATTTCCTTATATTAATAGGCATTCGTGCACACAATTTAGGATGCTTGGGTATTCAAAATAACGTGAAAAAAATTTTATTTTCATGTGAGGTGTGAAATGCCGTTGCGTTTTAAGATCAAAAGTGTACTCCTGCGTAACGTGTAATATTCATGTTTAATAATCTGTTACCTGTTTTAACAGGGACGACGGCAGTGGAATTGCATTGAAAACTCTCAAGCATGTACAAAAAGGCTGGGGTCAAGGAAGCATATCAAACTTGCAGCCTCTGAAAAATTATTTCGACGATTACTATGATGGGAGTGGTTAAATTTCTGTCAAGTTTCCTAATTTTACTTTATTTTATTTTTTTGGTAGATGGAGGGAGAAGCATGAGAACGTAAAGGCTTAAAATATTACAAAGAACGAAATAGAATATCCCTCTCTCTATAATACACACACAAAATAGTTCATAAAAACTGCTGAAGAAGCTCTATAGAATGACTGAGCTGTGTACAAATTCCTCATATGCCTCTCAATTATCGCACAATCTCTCTTTTCTGATGATTCGGTGATATTTCTGAGATGGTATTTTGACCATCCAATTCCTTTTTCTCATAACATTAAGAATTTTAATTTTATTTTAGATTATTCATATATTAATATGATAAATATATAATTGAAAATAAAAAAAATAAAATTGAATTAGATTTGCAGTTGATTATCCAGCTTTAAAATGGTTGGCCTAAAGTTTGGATGAGCATTGATTACAACTAGATTTTACGCCGTGGGGGCATTTTCTCTTTTTGGTTGAAGTCTAATAGAAGGAAAGCTCTCAATGAGTTTTATTTTTTGAAAAAAAAATTATATAAGTGATGTTATAAAAAGAATATGCAAAAAGAAAAAAAGTAAGAAATTAATTAAAAAAATTTGTAATTTCCATGTGCATTTATAGTCTCTTATCGCTTCATAATTTTGCGCCAAACAGTGTTGCCTCATGCTCTAATCTTTTGTGGCTTTTTGTCTCTAACTAGCATTCCCCACAGACCACTTCGACCCCTCTTCCCTTCGATGTCGACGCCAGCAAACCTTTGTTACAGATTTTGTTTAGTATCTGGAAACGGCCTTCAGTGAATCAGCAATGCTTATAATTCCAGTCTTCCAATTGTTTAAATGTTCTTTCTGTACAACCTAAAGAAGGTTTCTTCTCTGATGCAACACATGTCACAGCGAGAGGCTCTGCAAAAGCTGATCTGCTTATTCAAAATAATTTTGTCTCTGTGACTCTCCGGCTGTAATTTTCTGTAACATATGGTAACTCAATATAATTGTGTGTATATCTTTAAGTGATTTGATTAAGCTTTGGGTAAATGTCTTTCTCTCTGCTCTCCTTTTTTCCATATGGTGCTGTCTTTTCCATTCTTAAGGTGTTTAGACGAAAGTCAAATTATAATTTTAAAAATAATTTTATAATATACAAAATAAATATAAAGAAGTTTATTTTGATTTGTAGAAAAATATTTTTATTTTGGCAGCCAAACATCTCTCAATATGAAACAAACAAGTTGTAGCGACGACAACAATATGTGGAAAGCATTTATGCGTTTTGATAATGCTGTGTCATTTCCGCCCGCTAATAGCACAGGAAAATTCCAACTTGGTAGGAACAACTTTCTTTGAAATTTGACATTCGAACCTTGGAACTTCTTGCAACAGAGACAAAATAAAATAAAAGCTTGCTTTGCTTTTAAAAAGAGGTGACCGAAAGAGCTACTAAAAGCAAACTAAGCATTTTTTAAAAAATTCCATCACTTCCAAGTTCATATGGTGAACAAAATGTTTTCGTATTTATTAGCATATATTTTAGAAAAAAAATTAGTTTTTGAGTCTTTCAAATTTTGATTTAATTATGACACAGTACGTTAACTGCTACCTAGTCACTAAACTTTTAACTATTCAATCCTTAAGTTTTTTACCCATTTACTAAATTACCCCTTGGCACGTGCACTCACCCCGGGACATCCTACATGGCTTGCTGACACTGATAAAAATTGGTGATGTGGCTTCCAAGGAAGCTAGAAAATTTTAAAAAGAAAGAAAGAAAAGGAAATGCCATTCCATTTCCGCGCCTTCGTCTATTTCCCCTTCCTACCTCTCAATTCTCAAACTGGAAACTCTGCTTTCTCTCCATCCCTCTGTATTTGCCTTTCAATCTTCTTCTTCATTGTCTTGCCGAGCTCCACCTCTGTCGTTTTCTCGCTAGTGGTTTCACCCACTATAGTGATAAAAACCTTGAGGAAAATCATCTCCTTTCTTTCAAAACCAGTCTCCATAATCCCCAGCTTCTTGCTTCATGGAACTCCTCAGCCCCACACTGCAGCTGGTTGGCGTTGCTCATGAGCTCGACTGAGTTACCTCACTTTCTCTTTCCACTCTGCCCCTCAAAGGTCCGCTCTCTTCGTCCCTGTCCTCTCTTATCAAATTTACAGTCCTCAACGCACTCTCTGTTTCTGGTGCTCAAAGAATTATATCGACTCTGCTTTTTCCCCCCCCCCCCCTCAAATTTTATCGCTTACTGGGAAGCTACATCACCATGTTTTATCCGTGTCAGCAGGCATGCAGTACTCACTACTCAGGCTGAGTTGTACTACAATAAAATATTATAATTAGAAAGGAAGAACATATGCCGAGGATTACTTTATTAACCAAAAAAATTAAAAACTGAATTTTAATTAAGTTAAAATTTCAGCAACTAAATCATTGACGTGTTAAGGACTGAGCGGTGACCACTGAAAGTTAAGGACTTTCAGTGATTAAAAGATTAATTTTTTCCGTATTTTAAAACAGTGTTGCTCCAATGGTTTCGTGCTTCTCTCTCTAACTCGCATTTCATTCCCACAGATCACTTTGACTCCGATCGCTCTTCCCTTCCGTGTCGCTGGCAGCAAACCTCCTCTTATTACAGATTTTGTTTCGTATCTCATTTGGGTATTGCGTGATTATGGCTTCTATTTCGATATTTATTTACCTGAACACCATATCCATGACCTTAATGGCTAACACGGTTTGATCTTATCATTTTCCTCCTAATTGCTCTTTCTTTGATCATCCAGGTTGTTGCTGGCATACGTTTCCTATGTGATAATATTTTTTGGCGGTGGCGACTGCAATAACATGACATCTTGGTCCAGTTTTGTTTTCATCTTATTTGATTAACTCTTGAGGCTTCTGTTTTCCCGCCCTATTCCTTTCTTTTCTTTTCTTTCTGCTTAAACTCATCTCTCCTGTTACTCAAGCAAGCCAAGATTTACCTGTGATAGGCAATCTTCTGTGCTTGTTCTTTCTAATGGACTCTTTTTCCAAGTTGTCGGGTATACAACATGATGTCTTCATCAGCTTCAGGGGCACAGACACACGTCATGGTTTCCTTAGCCATTTGAGAAAGGAACTGCGGCAGAAGCAAATTGATGCCTACGTAGATGACAGACCTGAAAGTGGAGATCAAATATCACCGGCGCTTTTAAGGGCCATTAAAGAATCACTCATTTCATTGATCATATTTTCAAAGGACTATGCTTCTTCAAAGTGGTGCTTAGAAGAACTTGTGCAGATTATTGAATGTATGGAGAAGCAAAAACAGATTGTAATTCCCGTTTTCTATAACACAGACCCCTCAAATGTGAGACATCAGAAAGGATCTTATGGAGATGCTTTATCGAAACATGGCGAATATTATGAGGAAAGGGTGCCAATTTGGAGATCAGCTTTGAAAGAGGCTGCTAATTTATCTGGGTTTCATTCATCAAATTATGAGTAAGCTCTTTCCTTTGAACACTTTTTTCATTATGCAATGATGTCACTGAATTTCGGTCTTCTTACTTTCTTATGGTTATAGGGATGAGGCTGAGCTTATAGAAGAAATTGCCAAATCTTTGTCAACAAAGTTGAATATTTTGTACCGAGGTGACTTAACAGATCTTGTTGGAATTGATGAAAGAATTGCAGAATTAGAATCACTGATGGATGAAGGGTCAAAAGATGTCCGTGTCATTGGAATTTGGGGTATGGGCGGTATCGGTAAGACAACCATCGCAGCTGCAATATTCTATCGATCTTGTTTTGAATACGAAGGGCATTGTTTTTTGGCAAACGTGAGAGAAGAAGCTGAAAATCATGGCATTATTTATTTGAAGAATAAAATGCTTTCTTCACTACTGAAGGAAAATGATTTACAAATTGGCACCCCATATCTCATGCCCCCTTTCGTTAGGAGAAGGCTTCTTCGAAAAAGGATTCTGGTTGTTCTTGATGATATTAGTGATTCAGATCACCTTGAAAATTTAGTAGGAGCACTTGATTGCTTTGGATCTGGTAGTAGAGTCTTAATAACTACTAGAGATAAACAAGTACTTGCTAAAAGAGCTGATGAAATATACGAGGTTAAGCCATTGATGTTTGATGATGCTGCTCAACTTTTTATGTTGAATGCCTTTGAGAATAATTACGTAGACATTGAGTGGATTAAATTATCAAGGAAGGTGATTAGTTATGCTAAAGGAATTCCATTGGCTTTGAAAGTTTTGGGCTCCTTTCTTTATGGCAAAAGCAAGGAAGAATGGGAAAGCCAACTTGAGAAGCTAAACAAAATGCCACATGCGAAAATTCAAGATGTGATGAGATTGAGTTATGATCAACTAGATAGGGAAGAGAAGAACATTTTCTTATATATTGCTTGTTTTTTGAAAGGATATGAATCACAACAAATAATACTTCTGTTAAATGCCTGTGGTTTCTCAACAATTATTGGATTGAGGGTCCTCCGAGACAGAGCTCTCATAACTGAAGTTAAAGAATCAGCTATCAGAAAATCAAGAATATTTATGCATGATTTAATACAAGAAATGGGTTGGGAAATTGTTCGAGAAGAATCAATTGATAATCCTGGGAACCGTAGTCGACTATGGGATGCTAATGACATATATCATGTATTAAAACATAACATGGTAAGAGTCATAATCCTGTGTTTATATACTTACAAATTATATTCTGTTTTCCTCTTATGCTACTCCTATTTTGCAGGGGACTGAAGCCATTCAAAGCATAACTCTGAATGTGGCAAAAATTGAAGATCTGCAGTTAAGTCCAAAAACTTTGTCCTCAATGGACAATCTGAAATTTCTCAATTTTTATAAAGGTGCTTTTGAAAAGGGGAATTTACATCTTCCCAGTGGTCTTGAATTTTTGTCGAATCAGCTCAGACTTTTGCGTTGGGATGACTACCCTTCCAAGTCATTGCCGGCAACATTTTCGGCTGAAAACATTGTTACTATGAAAATGTACAATAGCAAACTTACAAAACTTTGGGATGGTGTCCAGGTAAATCTATATCTTTCTCGAAATGGTGTTTGGAAATTTGTCAAGAATTGTTTGTTTACGTGAACCCTCTCATTTGATTGTTACAGAACCTCGTGAATTTAAGGGAGATTCAACTTGCTGAATCAGAGTACCTGATTGAGCTTCCTGATTTTTCAGAGGCTAAGCTTCTTAAAAATGTCAATCTTAGCTATTGTACAAGGTTGCGTAGTGTTCATCCTTCTGTTTTAACTCTCCCCAATCTCAACCAATTGAGGCTTGTAGATTGCAAAGCCCTTACTAGCCTTACAAGCAGTGCCCCTCTAAAATCACTTACATTTCTCGTGCTCAGTGGATGTTCGAGACTCCGAGAGTTTTCAGTAACATCAGAGAAAAGGTTAGAACTGTTTCTTTCAAACACAGCCATCAATGATGAACTGTGGTCATCAAGTGGACGCCTTGGCAACATTGAAGAATTGAGTGTAGATGGCTGCCAAAGTCTCACAAATCTCCCCTACAAGTTAGTTGACCTTAGTGGTCTTCGTTCTCTTAGTATTTCTGGTTGCAACAAGTTAGCATCAAATCTGCATTTCCTATTAAATAAGTTACGCAGTTTGAAAAATTTGTCACTGAATAATTGTAGCAGCTTATTTGAACTGCCCGAGAACATTAGTTTCTTGTCATCGTTACGTGAGTTGTCACTCACAGGGTCAACTAATCTGACAACACTGCCTGCTAGCATCAAGCATCTTTTGAGGCTACAATGTCTTAGGTTGGACGAATGCAAAAGGCTTCAATCCCTGCCAGAACTTCCACCCTCTATTGCACACTTGTTTGCAAGGGACTGCACTTCCCTCGAGACCCTAAAGTTAACTTCAATGCCTACAGTCTCATTGGAAGATGAAGTATGCTTTCACTTTGGAAATTGCATGAAATTGGATCGGCAATCAATTAAAGCTATTGAGGCAAAAGCGCTGCTTGAGATGGATAAATTAGTATCAGCTGTTGAAACAGGCACTGCTTGGACTATGCAGGCTCAACTTGTATATCCAGGAAGCAAAGTTCCAGAATGGTTCATGTACAGGTCAACACAGTCTTCCATCACTGTGGATCTCTTCTCCATTCCACGACCTAAGGATTGGAGTTTTATATTCTGTGCAGTTGTTTCTCACTCTGAATCCTTCGTTTACTTTGAAACTGAGTGGTATTTTAGTGATGGCCAACAGGTTTTGGATGAGATTATGTATTACTTTTGCAAACATATTGGCATCATTCAGTCAGATCATGTCTGTCTCTGGTATATCTCAGAGCTTCCTTCACAGGTGCAAAGGATAATTGAAGAGAAGAATACTGATCAGAGCACCACTGGTCATGAATCAGTTGAAATAAAATTCATTGTTAAAACTCCTAGTCCAGTTCCAGTTTTGGATGTCAAGGGGTGTGGGGTATGCCCAACGGGTGCATCAGGATATCGAAATTATATTCAACAAATGGAATCGGTGTTACAGTCACAACCCAATTCATTGGGAATCAAAGGAGGTTGCTCCTGTGACAACACTAATGACAAAGAAGTGGTTCCTAGGAAGTCCAAGGATTTTATCTTCCCAAGCCCACCAACTGGGGCGTCGAAGAATAGAACACGTGGCTTGAAAGATATTATGTTTTTATGATATTAAGTTCAGATTTCCTTTTTCTTGGTGGATTGAAGCAAAAATTCAGGTGATTTGTTTTTCCTCTATTTTCCTTGACATTCAAAATGAGCTTATCCTCGTGTTGTGCTCCCTATCTGTTATTAGTTTGATAGGTTTTATGGAGATTGAGTCTTTGTAAAATCCAGTTGATGGAAATGCACAGATTGGGCAGGTTAAATTGCGTATTTAAGCTTTCCTTTTATCCGAAATGGAATGTATTGCAATGTAATCTTAATTTCCATAGGCGTATTTGGTGCACTTTTAAGAAAAAAACGAAAACAAATCTTTTTAAATAGAAAATGGAAAGACAAAAATATCCCTGATAAGTACAAAAATTACTTCTTTTTGCTCCCCCTCCTTTGTAACCTTCTCAAACTGAGAAACTTTGCTCTTATCTTTTACTTCCTATTTTCCAAACAGAGCATTTTCACTTTTGTCACCCCATTAACAGCACACATCATCCAGCTGTAGTTTTTTCCAAAGCGCAAGTATGAAATATCTCACCTTTTATCTTTCACGGACTTGTGTTGCGTCCGCTTAAGAGTTATACGGAGGATCCAATTTCAGGACCAATGTGCAATGTACCATCATTTGTGTATTGGTGAAATGCAGCCTATCCTTGCAAATTCTAAGCGCTGATACTACATGCATTCCTGGCTCTCCAGTCCAACTCCTGTTTTCAAGCTTGTGGCTTTTTTGAGTAGTCACATAAATTAAAACTAAGAAATGATGCCAAAGCAGGCCATTTGAAATTCGTGGATCCTCAACTTCAGAGGATCCCCATGCCTGTGCATTATAATATAACAAAATGGGACAGAGCAAGATGTGAACGGCAAAACAGAGCATAGAGTCTCCTCAAGCAAAAAATAAAAATGAAAGAGGACAAAAAGACAAAATGTAAAATGATGCTGCTTCTTTTTTAATTTTGTTCCTTCGGAAAAGCTACAACAACACATTTTCTTGAAGTCTCACATTTGACTACTCCCTATGTCTCTAAACGTAAGTCCTAGTTTTTAGAATTGTTTTGATCCCTAGTTATAAGTCTTATTACAAAGTTCTGGATGTAATTAAAACATAATACGTCTTATAAAAGACCCCATTTACATATCTTGCCTAGCAAGGGGGCCTATGTTACTACTTGGCTTTCAGCACATTTTATGTGTATTTAGAAGAAATGAGGTTGGTACCCCCCCCCAAAAAAAATTTCCCTCACTCCTGTTTTCACTGTTCTAAAATTGTGAATTCATTATTTAAGTCCATTCAACGACAAAAGAATACAGGAATGAACAAATCTAACTCAAGTTAAAATCAATCGGCCTCGTTATTTTTGTTTCTTGGGGTTACAGCTTCTTACCCAACGCATCCTGATCAATATAAAAAGTATAAAATTTATAATAAACCAAAGCATTACCAATTAATGTTGAAATCAAACAAGAATAGTAAAGCAAGGTTCGTATAAAGTTCCAATAGCGGGAGATTCAAGTTATGTCATAATAAGGATTTTATTTTTTTGCCAAGAAGAATTAGTCCAGTTGGTAAGGAATCGGCTCATAACTCACAAGGTTGTGAATTCGAATCTTACTGCCGATGTAAAGACTTTGTTAGTGGACAATTTATAAATACCTCTATAAGCGCTTTCTGATGTCCAAAGGTATGCTCTGACCCTAGTAAGCTCCCGAAAGCTAACTCATCTAAACCTTTTCTTTAAAAAAAAAAAAAGCCGATCGTATCTTTTCCTCCCTTCATACGTCTAACTATCCGTATGTAGCATAAACATATTAAAACTCGCACCGTGAATTATTTGAACTACCGACAATATCAGCTTGTTGTCTTCATTACGTGAGTTAGATCTCTCAAGGACTAATATGGAGACCTTGCCTTTAAGCATCAAACTTCTTTCAAGCCTGCAACATCTTTATTTGGATGGATGTGAAAGGCTTCGATCTCTACCAGAACTCCCTCCCTCTATCTTATCACTGTCCAGCAAGAACTACCCATCCCTTGGGACCCTACGACATTTACCTTTGACGAACGAAGGTGAAGAAGGAAAAGAAGATTATGATGATGATGAAGCAGATGAACCATATCCTTACTTTATGTTCACAAATTGCATGAAGTTGGATCGACGATCAATCAAAGTTGCTGAGGCAAAAGTGCTACTTGAGATAGATAAAGCCATTTATGATATGGCTATAATGGAATATCCTGAAGAAAGAGTTCCAGAGTGGCTCATGTAGACGACTACACAGTCTTTGGTAACTGTAGGTCTCAATTCGATTCCACAAGCTTGGGATGACGGTTTCATTTTCTGCGCCGTTATTTCTAAATCATCATCGACGACATGCATCGATGCCAAATGGTCTATTGATGGTCAATATGCTTGCTTGGCTTCCTGCCCGACATCTGAGCATCAAGATTACATTAAACAAATTAAATTGGCATTGGCATCCACATCCTAACTCTACTGCAATGGGGTTTGCTCCTTTCACAAAGAATATATATATATATATATATATCACATTTTGGATGAATTTGAAGAAATGATTTTGAGTTTTAAAGCTCTCAAGCTGAATGTTCTGCCCGCTTCATATGTGCATGACCCCCTCCACCTTAAAAAGGTATGTATGCTCTTGTTTTAGTAGTTATATACGCGCACACATGATTTTTGTTCATAGTACTTTTTTGTTTTTACGTACTAATTAGGGCATCCTTATGTTGTACTCCTCCGATCCCTAATGTAGGACCCAATTGTTGAATTGGTTTTGGTCCTAAATATAAGAACCATTTCTTATATTTATCAATTTTCTCTAAATTACCCCTATAGATACTCCCTCAACCATAGTCAAGTAGAAGAGGGAGAGAAGGTATTAAGAAAGATTATTATGGTATTTTAGGAAAAACATGTTATATTTCTTATAATTAACTAACTTACCTAACTTTCTTAATCTAATCAAATTAGTTAAATGGGTCTTATATTAAGGACCGGAGGAGTATGATGACATGAATAAAATTAATTTAAGATTTTTTTTTTCAATAAAATTGATAGCATAAGCAACAAACAAAATGAGGATAGGCGGAAGACTGTGTGTAGTTAATTCCTTAGGAGTTCTTAATTTAATAACTGTTATTATTTTAGTTTATATAAGTTCCCGGTACATTTAGCTTTGTATGACCTTGCATTTGGACCTTGCGTTCTTCATATGCGGGTAAGTTTGGAAGACCGCTCATTCCTCCTCATAAATCTTCTTGCCTTGTGGCTATGGGGTTCATAAAGTTAAAAAGTCGAGACTGGTAAAAGAAAATCTTTGGAGAGTCAAATAATGTCCTTTAAATTGCTGTGATTTATGTTTTATTTTGTAAATAAAAGAACGTTTATTTCATAAATATATTTAGGCAAAAAAAAAAAAAGAAACTGGAAATTAATAAATACAAAATCAGGCTTGGTAACAACACTTTATTTAACATTGATAATACTAAATTTGTGAATGACAATAAATTCTTGTTGATATTTTTTATTTAATATTTACTAATTTCTAACTTTTTCGTTCGATATTTTTTTTTAAAAAAAATACTCCAAAACGAAGCATCTCAGTATTTCCAAAATGAGTCATGTCACTATCTGGGAGCGTCTTTAACTCTTTTGAGTGCCAGACCATGTGTGTGGGCCTTCGAATTTCTGGCACTTTCCAAGGTCAAGAATTTCTGGCACTTTTCTTTTCCCCTTTCCGCATAATTTGCTCCATAATAATGCGTGGGAGTAATATTATTTTAACCCCTGCAAAATCCAACCAATCAAAGTCATCCTTATCAATTTATTGTTACTTTTTTTTAAGACACTAAATTCACCTCTAATTTTAAATTTTATTATTTTTTAATATACACTACATTACCTTACATTACCTTCAAAAGTATAAAGTCTACATCATAATAAATAAGGACAGACCAATTATTGGATAAATGGCTCTCATAATCAATTAAAAAAATTATTTTTACACTACATTACCTTCAAAGGTATAAAGTCAACATTACCTTACATTATTTGTACGTTTTATGAATTAAAATTCTTCTCTTTAAAATAAGGTAATCCGAACAATCATGCCAGCAAGTCATTTAGGAGCGATTTTCTGTAACTTCTCCTTACGTGATTACTAAGGGATGAAGGCTAAAGGGAATACATACCAGTAATTTTAGAAACGACTGGCAATAGTTCGGGTTACGTTAATTAAAACATAGTTATTCTCCAGTTTTCTGTTTCACCTTTAATTATAGCTATAACTATCTGCAGCTATAAACGAACTTAAGTTTTCACAAATCTGAAAACAAATTAAATGAAACTAATTACCTTGGCATTAAGGTAAAAAAATAATTCTTTTATTTTACTTTATTATATTTAATACAAATTAGATGCACATATGCATACAAATGCGTCAATGACCAATACCACGTGTCAGTGATACTATGTTGTGTGTGAACTTTCTCGGAACCAACTTCTCTCCTTTTTGCCTTGGCTGCCCTTCTTTATTTCAAACTACACTGTTTTGGTGTAGAATAGGTGAGGTAAAACCTTCTTTTCATTTTTTTTCAAAATAAGCATTTAGTATTGTCAAATATTTTCTCAGCATAGCTTGTTTAGAATAATTTATAAACAGTTTTTTAATTGTAATTAAAAAAATATGAGATACATGAGAAGAATTTTGTCTTAATTTATATAAAAGTATTTATAAATACTTATCAAACGCGGATACAAATAAGCCTCACTGGTCTGAAAATAAAGCATTTAGCGTCACTCTAGTTTTAAGCAGCGAGGGCAGCGGATGAAAAGGAGAAAGGAAAAAAAGCCAGTTCCCACTTTCTAACTTGCTTTTTGGGTTTGCTCTGTCCAGTGCTGCCCGGGTGAAAAGTGAAAAAACTACAATAATTTGATCAACATTTCGGGGAAAGTGTCGGAGTAATTTTCTTGCTCTCTGTACTATGCTTTTTCATTTAGTGCTGTATTTCCCTTCCTCTGAAATTTGAGAGCCACTGATTCATTAATTTACCCAACCTACTTCACTGCAACCTTATCTTCCCCTTCGGCCGGTTTGCTTCCTATTACAAATTCTTGGATCTGAATTGAAAGCAGTCCCAATTCTCTTTTGCATATTGTGGCCAGGCGATCTGATATGGCTTCATCTTCTTCCTCTACTCCATCTTCTCAGTCTCCCAAGAAATATGATGTTTTTATTAGCTTTAGAGGTGAGGACACCCGCTTGAATTTCACAAGCCATCTTTATTATGCTCTTTGTGGAAAACAAATATATACATACATCGATGACAGACTCGAGAAAGGAGACCAGGTATGGCCATCTCTTGAAAAAGCCATTGAAGATTCAACTATGTTCCTTGTGGTGTTCTCAGAAAACTATGCACCTTCCACGTGGTGCTTGAAGGAACTTACAAAAATATTACAGTGCTCCAAAAATGATCAAGTTCACCTTGTTATACCTGTGTTCTATAGAGTAGATCCTTCAGACGTGAGGAAGCAATCTGGGAGTTACCAGAAAGCATTTGAAAAACATGAGCACAAAGGCATCAACACGCAACAACTACACAAGTGGAGGAAGGCTCTCACTCATGCTGCCGATTTATCCGGTTGGCATTGTACCTTCGACAGGTAACTATACATCTGCTATGATATTTCTCTTATCATGCACGGAGCTAAGTAAAATCAATCTTTAGCATCTGATGAAAGTTGATAATGATAAGGGAGTAGATTCTCTTATACACACTCTGCTTAACCAGTCCACTATATATAGGCCCATCAACTTTATTTTAATTTTATCATATTTTAATCCAAATCGCTATTTCATATATATATATATATTGTATAAGTCATCTAGCTAGCTAGTAATGTTTCTCAAGAAAACTACTTTAACAAATTTTAAGAATTGGCAATCTTGAAAGTTGTGCTTTATGAGGAATAGTTCAAAAATTTGAATAGATAATCGGGATCAAATTTTCTTTACTTTTCCAATATGTGCAGGAATGAAGCAGAGCTTATTACAAACATAGTGAAATTGTTAAGCAGAAATTGGACTATAGGTATCAAAGTAAAGATAATCTCAAAGGCTTGATTGGAATTCAGAAAAGAATGGCGGCTGTAGAATCATTGTTGTGTAAAGGTTCAAATAATGATGGTTGCAAATTCATTGGCATTTGGGGCATGGGCAGTGTGGGCAAAACAACTCTTGCAAGAGCATTGTTTAACAAATTGTGTTTTACATATGATGGGTTTTGCTTTTTGGCTAATGTAAGGGAACAATCAAGGAGACATGGAATAGATGCTTTGAGGGGAAAACTTATTCTGAAGTTATCAGGGGAGAAAGAATCTCACATTGGCATGCTTGATGCAATAGATCCTTATGCCATGAGTAGTAGACTTGATCGGAAAAAAGTTTTCATTGTGCTTGATGATGTTGATGATGTTGAGCAATTACAAAATTTAGTTGGAAGATATGAATTTGGATCAGGTAGTAAAATCTTGATAACAACCAGAGATAGGCAAGTGCTTGCTGGTATAAAAGTGGTTGATATATATGTGCTTGATCGTTTGGATTCTTATGAAGCTTTTGATCTATTATCCATCAATGCCTTTAGAAACGACTATGCTGACAAGAAGATAAAAAAGCTAGCAAAAAAAATGACTCAATATGCAGATGGAAATCCATTGGCGCTAAAGGTTTTAGGCTCACTCTTGAATGGCAAAAATCAAGAAGCATGGGAAAGCCAATTGGACAAGCTTCAAAAATTTCCTTGTGTACAAGTTAATCATATCCTCAAATCGAGCTTCGAACAACTTGATAAGGAAGAGAGAAATATTTTCTTGTACATCGCATGTTTCTTTGATAATTATAATATTGAGGATGTAAAACACATGTTAAATGCATGTGGTTATTCAACCGAGATTGGATTGAAAAGACTTGAAGAGAAAGCTCTTTTAGATGTTCATAAGAAAAGAATAGGTATGCACCATCTGATAAAAGAAATGGGTAGAGAAATTGTCCGTGATGAATCATTAGAGGGTGTTCCTAACAAGTGCAATATATTATGGATTTTCAAGAATAATTCTGAAATATTAAAGAAAAACATGGTAAGAGTGAAATTTCTAAATGTTTTATTAAAAAATTGTTGAATTTCAAATCCCTATTTGATTTATATAATGTTGTTATTTTTTGCTTGTTAGGTGAATGGAGCCATTGAAGGCATGATTATGGACCTTTCGGAAGTTGAACAGATGTACATAATTATTGAAGCTCTTTGTTTAATGCCCAAGCTAATGGTCAGTTCAGGAAGAAGTTAAAAGTTTCTTCTCGTATGAAGTATTTGCCGAAAAATCTCATGCTACTGGATTGGGTGGGATGCCCTTTAAAGACCTTGCCGACAAAATTCAAGTATGAAAATCTTGTTGAAATAAACATGCCCAACAGCAATTTGACAAAACTTTGGGAAGGAGAGCAGGTAATTTGTTTCCTTGTTATTTTCCTAGAAAACATTATTAATATACTGGTTGAAAAAATTTTATTATGTACTCTCTCTTCAGTCTCTTGAAATATTTAATGAAAGATTAACAACCCATTCTGAAAAATGCATTTGTCTTTCATCATCACACTGATATTTATAAAAGATTACTAATGATTAGGTCTAATTTTAGAAAATCGTAAAACCTTTTGACATTACTAATTTTATTAAAAAAAAAATTGTTAACGTCTTAAAAAAAAAAAAAGAGAAAGCAGTTACCTTTGTTTTTGCCACTAATCCGGCGGTGTAATTTATTTTTTCACAGAATCTTGTGAATTTAAGCAGAATAGATCTTCATGAATCAAAAGACTTGATTGAGCTGCCAAATTTTTCCAAGGCCATACATCTTGCAGAAGTTGATCTCGAAGGTTGTTCAAAATTGCAGAATATTCATCCATCTATTTTATCTCTCCATAGCCTTCGTCATTTATTGCTAAGAAATTGCACAGCTCTTACCAGCCTTACGAGCAACACACATCTCAAATCACTTGCTAAACTCGACATGGTCGGATGCTCAAGACTGAGCGAATTTGCAGTGACCTCAGAAAATAGTGAGTTTCAGTTGTTGCTTCTGGGAACAGCTATCAATGGTGAGTTGTGCTCATCAAGCGGACATCTCAACAAGATTTATTTTTTGAATCTAGACGGATGTGAAGGTGTGACAGGTCTTCACAAACTGTTTGACCTGCACACCCTTCGAAGACTTGATGCTGCTCATTGCAATGAGCTAGCACCAAATCTACATTCCACATTTGATGAGATGCGTGCTTTGCAAGTTCTAAAGCTGAAGGATTGTAGTAAATTGCTTGGATTGCCTGACAATATCAGCTTGTTGTCATCATTACGTGAGTTAGATCTCTCAGGGAGTAATATAGAGGCCTTGCCTTTCAGCATCAAATATCTTTCCAGACTGCAACATCTTTACTTAAATGAATGCAAATCGCTTCGTTCTCTACCAGAACTCCCTCCCTCCATCTCAAGAGTGTCCGCCGATGACTGCCTGTCCCTGGAGACCTTACATTCACCTTTAATGAGTGAAGATAGAGAAGGAACACAATATTATTATTTGCACTTTAGTTTCAAAAATTGCATGAAGTTGGATGGAGAATCAATCAAAGCTGTTGAGGCCAAAGTGCTGCTTGACATAAATAACGAAGCCATTTATTACAGGGCTACAATGAAATATCCAGGAAAAAGAGTTGCAGAGTGGTTCATGTACAGGACTACACAGTCCACCATAACTGTGGATCTCAGTTCGATTCTGCAACCTTGGGGTGCTGGTTTCATTTTCTGCGCCGTCATTTCTGGATCATCAGGGTGGATGAAAATGGATGCTGAATTGTTTATTGATGGACAATATGCTTACACGTCTCCAGGCGAGTCTTTTCCTATGTCCCTGTTGTCAGATCATGTTGTTTTTTGGTATGATGCAGAGTCATGTGGAGAAGTACAAAGGACAATTGAAGAAAAGAAAAGAGAAGCTCAAAGCAACACTTCTTATCGTCCGTTATTGCTTCAAATTAAGTTCACCACATTCTCTTGGGGTTCTGTTGATGAAACAAGAGGACAAATCAAAGAGTGTGGAGTGGGCCTGGCATCTGCGGTTGAATATCAAAATTACATTGAACAAATTCAATTGGCATCTTTGCATCCACACCCTAACTCTAATGCAATGGAATCGGTGTTACAGTCAAAACCTAATTCTGCGGGAATCAAAGTAGGCTGCTCCTGTGACCACACCAATGACAAACAAGTGGTTCCGAGGAAGTCCAAGGATTGTGCCTTCCCAAGCCCATCAACTGTGACATGGAAGAATGGAACACGGGGCTTGAAAGATATTATGTTTTTATGATGTTATGTTCAGATTTCCTTTTTCTTGGTGGATTCAAGCAAAAGTTCAGATGATTCGTTTTTCTTCTATTTTCCTGGATATTCAAAATGAGCTTACCCTCGTGTTGTGCTACTTACCTCCTATTAGTTTAAGAAGTTTCATGGAAGTTTAGTCCCTGTAAAGTCCAGTTGGTGGAAATGCACAGATTGGTTAAGTTGCGTATTTAAGCTTCCTTTTTATCCGAAATGGAATGCATTGCAACCTAATGTTAATTACCATGGGTGCGTTTGGTACACTTTTAAGAATGCATTGAATTATTTTCCAAATAAAAAATGAAAAGACCAAAATATTCCTGACAATTACAAAAAATCCTCTTTGGCAACCTTATCAGAGAAAACAGTGCTTTTATCTTTTACTTCAACAGAGCATTCGCACCTTGGGTCACTGCATTAACAACAGACATCACACAGCAGCAGTTTTCTCCAAAGCGCAAATATCTCACCTTTGTCTTTCGCGGACTGTGTTACCTTCACTTGTAACAGAGGATCTACTTTCAGGACCAATGTGCAGTGATTACTTTTTTTCTTTTTTGGGGTATTAGCATTATCATCTTGTATATTAGTGCTCCTGTGACCACACCAATGACAAACAAGTGGTTCCGAGGAAGTCCAAGGATTTTGCCTTCCCAAGCCCATCAACTGTGACATGGAAGAATAGAACATGGGGCTTGAAAGATACTCCTCCGGTCCTTAATATAGGACCTAATTCTTGAATTAGTTTTGATCCTAAATATAAGACCCATTTCTTATATTTATCAATTTTCTCTAAATTACCCCTATGGATACTCCCTCAACCATAATCAAATAGAAGAGGAAGAGGGGGTATTAAGAAAGATGATTATGGTGTTTTAGGAAAAATGTATCACTTTTCTTATAATTAACTAACTTACCTAACTTCTTTAATCTAATCAAATTAGTTAAATGGGTCTTATATTAAGGACCGGAGGAGTATTATGTTTTTATGATGTTATGTTCAGATTTCCTTTTTCTTGGTGGATTCAAGCAAAAGTTCAGGTGATTCGTTTTTCTTCTATTTTCCTGGATATTCAAAATGAGCTTACCCTCGTGTTGTGCTACTTACCTCCTATTAGTTTAAGAGTTTCATGGAAGTTTAGTCCCTGTAAAGTCCAGTTGGTGGAAATGCACAGATTGGTTAAGTTGCGTATTTAAGCTTCCTTTTTATCCGAAATGGAATGCATTGCAACCTAATGTTAATTACCATGGGTGCGTTTGGTACACTTTTAAGAATGCATTGAATTATTTTCCAAATAAAAAATGAAAAGACCAAAATATTCCTGGCAATTACAAAAAATCCTCTTTGGCAACCTTATCAGAGAAAACAGTGCTTTTATCTTTTACTTCAACAGAGCATTCGCACCTTGGGTCACTGCATTAACAACAGACATCACACAGCAGCAGTTTTCTCCAAAGCGCAAATATCTCACCTTTATCTTTCGCGGACTGTGTTACCTTCACTTGTAACAGAGGATCTACTTTCAGGACCAATGTGCAGTGATTACTTTTTTTCTTTTTTTGGGTATTAGCATTATCATCTTGTATATTAGTGCTCCTGTGACCACACCAATGACAAACAAGTGGTTCCGAGGAAGTCCAAGGATTTTGCCTTCCCAAGCCCATCAACTGTGACATGGAAGAATAGAACACGGGGCTTGAAAGATACTCCTCCGGTCCTTAATATAGGACCTAATTTTTGAATTAGTTTTGGTTCTAAATATAAGACCTATTTCTTATATTTATCAATTTTCTCTAAATTACCCCTATGGATACTCCCTCAGCCATAATCAAATAGAAGAGGAAGAGGGGGTATTAAGAAAGATGATTATGGTGTTTTAGGAAAAATGTATCACTTTTCTTATAATTAACTAACTTACCTAACTTCCTTAATCTAATCAAATTAGTTAAATGGGTCTTATATTAAGGACCGGAGGAGTATTATGTTTTTATGATGTTATGTTCAGATTTCCTTTTTCTTGGTGGATTCAAGCAAAAGTTCAGGTGATTCGTTTTTCTTCTATTTTCCTGGATATTCAAAATGAGCTTACCCTCGTGTTGTGCTACTTACCTCCTATTAGTTTAAGAGTTTCATGGAAGTTTAGTCCCTGTAAAGTCCAGTTGGTGGAAATGCACAGATTGGTTAAGTTGCGTATTTAAGCTTCCTTTTTATCCGAAATGGAATGCATTGCAACCTAATGTTAATTACCATGGGTGCGTTTGGTACACTTTTAAGAATGCATTGAATTATTTTCCAAATAAAAAATGAAAAGACCAAAATATTCCTGGCAATTACAAAAAATCCTCTTTGGCAACCTTATCAGAGAAAACAGTGCTTTTATCTTTTACTTCAACAGAGCATTCGCACCTTGGGTCACTGCATTAACAACAGACATCACACAGCAGCAGTTTTCTCCAAAGCGCAAATATCTCACCTTTGTCTTTCGCGGACTGTGTTACCTTCACTTGTAACAGAGGATCTACTTTCAGGACCAATGTGCAGTGATTACTTTTTTTCTTTTTTTTGGTATTAGCATTATCATCTTGTATATTAGTGAAATGCAGCCTGTCCTTGTAAATTGTAAGTTCTGATTCTACATGTGTTCCTGACTCTCCATTTCCTATTTAAGGTTATTTTAAAATATTAGCTGTTACTAAATAATACTTCAAGATGCTTAAGAAAAATTTATGAATTTAAAAAATAAAGCAGATTAAAATTTTATATTTAAAATCAAAACAAGTATCCCAACTAATTATTACATTTAGGACGGAAAAAAGTACAATAATATGCACTTTACCCAACCAGGTTTTTTGGTAAAGACTAAAAAATGTTTAAAAATGGAAATTAAACGATCGTTGATGTTAGCTCGTTTGATTAAAGAGGACAGGAAATGAAAGCTAACAATAATTAAAAATGTCAAAACCTGAACATCATTGGCTAAATGCCTCTAATAATCAATTAAAAAAAATTATCTTTACGTTTTATGAATTAAAATTATTCTCACACAACATAAAGTTTTTTAAAATAAGGGAATTCGAACAACCATTAGACTCGTTTTGGCGACAGGTCATTTAGGAGCGATTTTCTTTTAACTTTTGTTGACGCAGTTCCTTTCAGTAAGGAATGAAGGCTAAGGTACACAATTAAAACAAAGTTATAGGTTATCTATTTTCAAGTTTTGCTTGCCTTTGTATCTTTGGAAAAAAAAATAGGTTATGTTATTTTGTTTAATACAAATGAAATTCGAACATGTCAACAACAAATTTGAGTTTAAAAACTCATTCAAACATGATAAATCACAACCAACTGAATTATGTAAATAAAAAATTAGTTAAAATTAATTAAATATTATATATGAAGGGGGTGTTTGGATTAATGTGACAGAACTTATTTTTATTCCATATGACTTTTGCAGAAGTTAATTAGGGTAAAACAAAAAGTTAGTTAGTATAATATGATTTATATTTAGATTGATTTGTTATAAAAGTCAGTTTGCTAAATTGAATCTGGTTTGGATGAATAATAGACAAATAAGTTTACATGTAAAATGACTGAAAAATCATGAATTTTATAACATATATCTCATGGGTATAGTTTAATAAATTTAAGAAAAATAAAAAATAAAAATAAAAAATTATAAAAATAAAAAGAGTTAATAGACCCACATCAATTTTCTTATATTCACTTTCTCAAGATTTCCGATCACACATGACCATATGTCATATTTTTAAAATATTTATATTTAATAATATTTAATTATAAACCTACATAAAAAATGAACACATGATCATATGTAATTGAAAAACTTAACATAATAAATATAAGTAGCCAGACTTAAATATTTTTCTTAAAAAATTTGTAAGTATTAAAAAAAATTATTACTAACACAAAAAAATTAAATTATTGGGTTAATAACTTAATATAGGATACACTTAAATGCTATTCTCTCTCTTTTTTTTTCAATCCTCATTTGTTTCTCTCTCCACGTTATTACAAACTCAAAAGGCTCAAATTTTTAGTTTAGCCCATTTGAAAAAAAGTTCATCCAAACAAATACTCCCCCCATCCATTTTTATAAACAACATTGGAGTTCATTATGTAGATTAAAATAAGAGTTAAAATTAGTTTAAAACAATAAATATGTAAAAAAATAAAAATTCTTTCTCTAAAATATCCTTATTTATGTGGGAGAGAGAGTATAAAAGAGATAATAAAAAATTATTATAATAAAAAGAATTATGGAAGAGAGAGAATGTGTGATAAAGAGATGATGGTTTGGGAAATGAGATAATAAATATATTGAGTATTAAAATAATTAATTAATTAGGATAAAATAGAATATTTGCAACAAAATTTTAAAATAAGTTATAAATATTATTTATACTTAGTAATAAAAAAATAATAGTTGTTGTTTATAAAATAAGAGGGAGGGAGTATAAATGTTAATAGCCAAGACGCGTTTGTTGGTCTTAACGCCCATCCAAACAGAATGAGGCTGCCCCATTCTCACTGTGACGCGCAATTGACTTGCTTTTTGGTGTATCAAGAGGAGAGGAAATGAGGGCTAATAATAAATATAATTAAAAATTGTCAAAATTTGCAGTTTTGAATGCTTACTAGCTCTGGCTTTCACTTTAAGTGTTTTTTAAATCTGCACAAAAATTAGGCAAGAAAGTGCAAAACTTTCTAAAAATATGAGACTTGTTTCCAAAAAAATAAGAAAAATTAATTCTAAGTTAAAAATAGGAAAGCACAAAATATTCATATTTTCAATCCAAAATCTTAATTTTTATGCAAAATCCAAAAAATCAACCAATTAATCCAATTATGCATAAAAAGTTCATTTAAGCTCAAAATTATCATTTAAATCCTAAATTAATGTGGGATAAAATTTATAAAAATTGGGCTTTATCAATTCCCCCACACTTAGTCTTACTCCTGGGCAAAGCAAATGAAGACCAAAGAGCAGTAAGAAAAACAAAAGAA